AATCTGTATATTTTATTATAACACATTTTATTTTCCTATCTGTATGATTTGCTTGAAGCTTTTAGTATTTTTATGTCATAAAAAATGTTCTAAATGTATGAAGGCAAACACATTTCCTTGTAAAATCTGATTAAGTTATTTCATAATGTTGAGAAAATAGGAGGCGTGTTTGACATTAGTATTTCAAAAGGTTTAATATTTGTTCACCTGCAATTAATCTTCACATTTTGTTTATAAGAATTACATAAAAATGTATCACCATTCAATCATTTGATTAATCCAGTGGAATTTTCTTCTATTCTTACTGTTACTGCCACTGATTGGCCCTTCATCACTTTTAAATATTGTGATAGAATATGCATAACATAATGTTTGCCATTTTAACCACCTTAAACAGTCCAGCAACATAAGGTACATTCATATCGTTGTGCAACCCCTCAATAGTTTTTGCATAGGTACCACAAGAGCTGTCAAAACCTAGTCTTCCTTCTAATTTTGCCCCCTTAAGGAAAAAGACTGAAAAAAATCTCTCTATTGACTTATTTCACCTGTGCATAGGGAAAAAAATGGGAAAATAAAAATTTCTCTGGTGCCTTTGGGTTCAGAGCTGCTAAAAACCAAATGCAAACTTCTCAGGTCAAAGAAGGGCAAGGACCTGCTGCACAGGTTCCATCCCTGGATTTAGATTATTCTTTCCTCGAGACATCATAGCCCAAACAATTGCTCTGAGAACATACAGAAGGTATAAATGCTCTTTAAAACTCATTTAGTATTAATGGATCTGGTTACCTGATGTACAAAAAATCTTGTACAAGTAAAATCATTGGCTTTCAAACATGCAAAAAAGATCATTTCAAAAAATTAAGGAACAAAACTTTCAGACAGCTAAACTTTGTACCTGTGCATGCAAACATAGTGAAGCTAAACTGCCTGGCCCTAACCGGGCAGCTGGGGTTGGCTGGTCTGAACTGAGTCCTGAGCCCTCTTGGGAGATAGTAGGTGTGTCAGAAACGAGAGCCCATAGATGCAAACGCTTTCATTTAGAGCCCTTGGCAGTGCAGTTTTGTATCACTAGATGTCAGTGTGGACTTTCCCAGCCACCGCCTTCCCTTTGTGCCTTTGCAGATTTACAAAACAGCCCCCAAGGCCCTTCCTCAAGTCCCAGCAAACGCAGAGCTGTTTTCAGAATTGTAATTTCACCAAATATGTTGTCTATTTACATATTTTGTCTTTTCAGAGTTTTAAAAAATATAAACAGAAACTCTGAACCAAAGGTTATTATTTTTAACCCTGTGACCTTCTACTCGAATGCCTGCATGTGGAAGGCAGGCTGCAAGGATATTCCCCAGTCAATGGAAAGTTCCACTTAGGGTCATTGAAGCAGCAATGCTAAGCCAGATACCTGCAGGCCCACCTTCAGGAAACTAAGGCATTCTAAACTACCATGGCTCATGAGTGGTAGCAGGAAGCTAAGAAAAAGTAACAAAATATATATTAGCCATATAAGGTTTTAGTGGCCCTGTTTACTCGATTTTTTTTGTAAATCAGAGGACTTTGAAACTTTAAAGAACAGGCACTATGTTAGTTTCCTATTGTGGGTGTAACAAATTATCATGAATTTAGTGGCTTAAAAACAACATACATTTTTCTTGGGAATCTAGTAGTCAGAAGTCCAAAATGGGTCTTACTGGACTAAAATCTAGGAGTTGGCAGAGCTGTGTTCCTTGTGGCGGCTGTTGAAGAGAATTTCCTTTCCCTTTCCAGCTTCCACAGGCCACCTGCATTCCTTGGCTGGTGGCCCCCTTCTCTCTTCAAAACCAACAATGGTCAGTTGAGTTGTTCTTTGCATCACTTTAACCCTGACCCTTCTTCATTCCTCTTTTATTTACCTTGAACCTTGTGATTCCATTGCACCCACCCAAATAATCCAGGATAACCTCTCAATCTCAAGAGCCTTAATTTATTTAGATCTGCAAAGTCCCTCTTGTCCTGTAAGGTAACATATTTATAGATTTCAGGGGTGAGGACATGGACATTTGGGGGACTAGGGGAGCATTTTTCTACCACAGTCATTATTTTTAAGATAATATATGATGTAATTTTTTAGGTGATGAACTTTTTAATAGGCTGATTCAACGTCATGGACAACCGTTGTCTTGTAAAGTAGAATGTGTTGGAAAATAACAAGGCTTAGATTTCCTTCGCTCATGGAATGTTAACCATGAAGAATAAATCTGCCACACCCAGTATTACTATTAGGCCACCCTACAACATGGCTGTGCACCAACTCTGCTGCTCCTTGTGGCCCGTTTCCACAACGTCTATCTCAGGAACAGCACTGAGTTAGGTGGGGTGAGCACATGCAGAGTGCAGGACACTAACAAAAATGAAATGCGGTGCTCAGAGAGACCAGACCAGGCAGCCTGTGTGTACCCCCATGTAAAGCCAACTGAATTTAACCCTGTGCCTGGCCACACCTAAGGCCTAATTTCCTGCAGCCTTCCTAAAGCCAAATTCAACTTCCTCCCTTCTCTAGCATGCTCTTTCCCTCCATATTCCTTCCTAGTGTTACTGCCAGGGAACAGAAACCTTATGTGCCACCCTTGCCTCTTCCTTCTTGGCCATGCAAACAGCCCTTTGGGGTCTAAGGCCTCCAGAGACTGCAGTCTCATAAGGTTAACAGCTCTAATTCAGCTTCTCTTCACTTCTTGCTTGGATGACTACATCAGCCTTCTGATGAGTGTTACTTCTTTGTGCTTTCCTCCCTGCCATCAATCCAATCTCCAAAATGCTGCCTGAGCTATCCTTCACTCTATAAATACCATCATGCTACTGCCCTGTTTAGGAAAGCGGTTCCCTCTTGCCCTTTGGATGCCTTCCAACTTCCTAGCCCAGCACACCAGGCCAGTTAGACTCTGCCCCAACATACTTTTCCAGCCTGTTCTCAAACTTCCTCACCTCTCCTTTTAATTCCAGCTACAGTGAGCTGCTGTTCCTCAGATGCTCAGACCTCTCCCTTGCAACAGGCTTCTTCAGCCTAGAATACCATGGCTATTCCCCAAGACAGCCTGGTGTCACTTCTGGGCTTGTATTTTTGTCCTTTACCCAACCCCCAGCCCTTCGCTCAGCTCCAATACGCATGTACCATATAGCACTCTAATCACCTCTTTATATTTAGGACCTCTGACTATAAACTATAAGATTTTTGAAGGCAGGGACCTTGTTTGGTATTAACTCTGCATCTCCAGGGCCAAGCACATTGCAAAGGTGCAGCCATTGTTTAAAGAATGAAGATGCTCCAAGTGTGTACCCTTGTGTATCCATGGACCAGGGATGACCTGGATCAGTGCTCATGTTCCAAAACCTATTCAGTTTAGACTTGGATCCCTAGAGTTCAGCTAGACCCCAGAGAGCTTTTGGGAAACAGAGTAGGGGAGATGACCAGTACTTCTTCTTGACCCATTCTGCCAGTCTATTTCTTTTGATTGGTGAATTGAGACCATTAACGCTGATGGTTATAACTGAAATGTATTGACTTGTCATTGCCATGACTTTTTCTTTTTGTTGGGTTCTCCCCCTTTCCATTTAATTTCTTGTCATGCCAGATGGGTTCATTCTGCTTTGCTTCCTGGGGTTGTGATCCCCAATGTCTGTTCCT